TTGAAAGTACACAAAAGCTAAATTAATATAAAAGACACCTACACATCCACCACTGAGATTAAACAAGTGTGAACAGTTTGCTATATTTGATTCCTTTCTTTTTAAAGAAATAAAATTTGTCAGACTCACACTGGATGAATAAATATGTGATGTTAACAGTAAAATGTTAATAGCAGAATCTAGATGGTTATACAGGTGTTTACTGCAAAATTCTTTTTACATACTAGAACACTGTCCTTATAAAATGTTAGGGAAGAGATACACTTAACAAAACCAGTTATAGCCCACCCCAAGCCCCTGTCGGATTCTCAGGTGGCTCAGTAGTAAATAATCTGCCTGTCAATATAGGATACATAGGTGACGTGAGTTCAGTCCCTGAGTAGGGAAGATCCCCTGAAGAAGGAAATGGCAACCCACTTCAGTCTTCTGGCCTGGAGAATCCCATGGACAGAGCAGCCTGGCAGTCTACAGTCTATGGGGTCACAAAGAATTGGACGCAACTTAGCATTCATGCATGCACCTAGCTTCTGTGTACAAAAATTTGGGCTTCCCAGGTGACACAGTGGTAGATAATCTGCCTGCCAATACAGGAGATGCAAGAGACATGGATTCAATCCGTGAGTCAGAAATATCACCTGGAGTAGGAAATGGCAAATCACTCCAATATTCTTCCCTGGGAAACTCCATGGACAGAGGAGCCTGGCGGGCTACAGTCCATGGGGTTGCAGAGTTGGACATGACTGAACATGCATGCATACATGTCCCTGCCATCCTCAAATGTCCTAGCGTTGGTATGTAATATTCTTGCATGTTTTTATACTCTTTATACACATGCATTCATCCATAAGCTACATGTACAATCATTTATGTGGTTTTAAATTTTCCATAAATGGTTCATATCCTTTTTTACATCATTTAAAATGTTTGAGATTCATTTTGATAATACACATAAACTGACGAATTCTGTTTAATGACTATATTCCATTATAATATAAAATTTAGAACTTTGTTCACCCACTGTCCTGCCAAGGGCTATACAGTCCCCACTATTTTCTCTTTTTTCACTCAGCTTTAATAAGTTTGCAGAAGTCCTTGTCAACCAGGAAAAATGGGGCCTTCATAGGCACCCCCAGAATGAATACCTTAAAAAAAATTTTCCAGTGGATGAAAAAAAATTAAAAATCTCTTTCAAGAAAGATGAAGACTTCAGAGAGATAATGAAGACAGAAGAGTATAATGCCTTCACAGCTAAGTCTAGAATATGGCCATAGAAGTTGGAGGAAAAGTAAATTCAGGAGAAATTAACTTTTATCGACAGTGAACACACCATTGTAATAAGCTTTCAGTAGGAGAAGTGACTGAATGACCAATATGCCTCATTACTTTCTTCTTAGAGGACTGAATGACCAATATGCCTCATTATTTTCTTCTTAGTGCTGCATGAAATATTCTTATCTCCCAAGAAAACTCAAGAGTAGATGCTGAACATTTTTAATAATAAACTAAACATCTCACAATTCCTGTTTACATTTACTATTTCATTTAATGTTTAAATGAAACATTTAAACTCAGTTCTAGACCTTCTAGAACTAACACCAAAAAAAGAGTTTCTTTTCATCATAGGGGACTGGAATGCAAAAGTAGGAAGTCAAGAGATACCTGGAGTAACAGGCAAGTTTGGCCTTGGAGTACAAAATGAAGCAGGGAAAAGGCTAAGAGAGTTTTGCTAAGAGAACATACTGGTCATAGCAAACAGCATCTTCCAACAACACAAGAGACAACTCTACACATGGACATCACCAGGTGTTCAATCCAAAACCAGATTGATTATATTCTTTGCAGCCGAAGATGGAGAAGCTCTATACAGTCAGCAAAAACAAAACCAGGAGTTGACTGTGGCTCAGATCATGAACTCCTTATTGCCAAATGCAGACTTAAATTTAAGAAAGTAGCGAAAAAATACTAGACCAGTCAGGTATGACCTAAATCAAATAAATCCCTTACAATTATACAGTGAAAGTGACAAATAGATTCAAGGGACTAGATCTGATAGATAAGAGTGCCTGAAGAACTATGGTTGGAAGTTTGTAACATTGTACAGGAGGCAATGATCAAAACCATCCCCAAGAAGAAGAAATGCAAAAAGGTAAAATGGTTGGCTGAGGAGGCCTTACAAATAGCTGAGGAAAGAGGAGAAGCGAAAGGCAAAGGAGAAAAGAAAAGATATATCCATCTGAATGCAGAGATCCAAAGAATAGCCAGGAGAACTAAGAAAGCTTTCCTAAGTGATCAATGCAAAGAAATAGAGGAAAACAATAGAATGGGAAATACCAGAGATGTCTTTAAGAGAATTAGAGATACCAAGGGAATATTTCATTCGAAGATGAGCACAATAAAGGACAGAAATGGTACGGACCTAATAGAAGAAGAAGATATTAAGAAGAGGTGGCAAGAATACACAGAAGAACTGTACAAAAAATATCTTCATGACCCAGATAACCATGATGGTGTGATCACTTACCTAGAGCCAGACATCCTGGAGTGAGAAGTCAAGTGGGCCTTAGGAAGCATCACTATGGACAAAACGAGTGAAGGTGATGGAATTCCAGCTGAGTGATTTCAAATCCTAAAAGATGATGCTGTGAAAGCGCTGCACTCAATATACCAACAAATTTGGAAAACTCAGTAGTAGCCACAGGACTGGAAAAGGTCAGTTTTCATTCCAATCCCAATTCCAAATCCCAATCCAAGAAAGGCAATGCCAAAGAATGCTCCAACTACTGCACAATTGCACTCATCTCACAGGCTAGCAAAGTAATACTCAAAATTCTCCAAGCTAGGCTTTAACAGCACGTGAACTGAGAACCTCCAGATGTTCAAGCTGGATTTAGAAAAGGCAGAGGAACCAGAGATCAAATTGCAAACATCCGCTGGATCATCAAAAAAGCAAGAGAGTTCCAGAAAAACATCTACTTCTATTTCATTGACTATGCTAAAGCCTTTCACTGTGTGAATCATAACAAACTGGAAAATTAAGAATTAAGAGATGGGAATACCAGACGACCTTACCTGTCTCCTGAGAAATCTGTATGCAGGTCAGGAAGCAACAGTTAGAACTGGACATGGAACAACAGACTGGTTCCAAATTGGGAAAGGAGTACATCAAGTCTGTATATTGTCACCTTGCTAACTTATCTTATATGTAGAGTATATCATGCAAAATGCCAGGCTGGATGAAGCACAAGCTGGAATCAAGATTGCCGGGAGAAATATCAATAACCTCAGATATGCAGATGACACCATCCTTATGGCAGAAAGTGAAGAAGAACTAAAGAGCCTCTTGATGAAGGTGAAAGAGGAGAGTGAAAAAGCTGGCTTAAAACTCAACATTCAAAACACTAAGATCATGGCATCCAGTCCCATCACTTCATGGCAAATAGATGGGGAAACAATGGAAACAGTGACAGACTTTATTTTCTTGGGCTCCAAAATCACTGCAGATGGTGAAATTAAAAGAAACTTGCTCCTTGGAAGAAAAGCTATGACCAACTTAGGCAGCATACTAAAAAGCAGAGATATTACTTTTCCAACAAAGGTTCATATAATCAAAGCTATGTTTTTTTCAGTAGTCATGTATGGATGTGAGAGTTGGACTATAAAGAAAGCAGAGCACTAAAGAAGTGATGCTTTTGAACTGTGGTGTTCGAGAAGACTCTTGAGAGTCCTTTGGACTGCAAGGAGATTCAACTAGTCCATCCTAAAGGCAATCAGTCCTGAATATTCATTGGAAGGACTGATGCTGAAGCTGAAACTCCAATACTTTGACCACCTGATGTGCAGAAATGACTCATTGGAAAACACCCTGATGCTTGGAAAGATTGAAGGTGGGAGGAGAAGGGGATGACAGAGGATGAGATGGTGGGATGGCATCACCGACTCAATGGACCTAGGTTTAAGCAAGCTCCAGGAGTTGGTGATGGACGGGGAAGTCTGGCATGCTGCAGTCCGTAGGATCACAAAGGGTCAGATATGACTGAGCAACTGAACTGAACTGAACTTAATGTTTAAAATACTGCAAGCTACTATTATTCCTATTTTACAGAGAAAACTTGTTGTTCAGTCAGTAAGTTGTGTCCAACTCTTTGCAATGCCCATGCACTGCAGCTCGCCATGCTTCCCTGTCCTTCACTGTCTCCTAGAGTTGGCTCAAACTCATGTCCATTGAGCTGGTGATGCCATCCCACCATCTCATCCTCTATCACCCACTTCTTCTCCTCTTGCTCTCAATCTTTCCAAGCTTCAGGGTCTTTTCCAATGAGTCAGCTCTTTGCATCATATGGCCAAAGGATTGGAGCTCCAGCTTCAGCATCAATCCTTCCAAGAATATTCAGGGTTGATTTCCTTTAGTATTGACTGGTTTGATCTCCTTGCAGTCCTAGGGACTCTCAAGAGTCTTCTCCCTACAGAAAAAAACTGGTGAGACAAAGATCAGGGCCCTACAGCCATTGAGCCTGAAAGCTACAAAGTCCAATAAAGCAGAACAAATGCTGGTCATCCCAAGCATAGCGCCTCATGACAGGAGCCTCTGAATCAGGACTCTGGCTAACCCTGATGATGAGGACAACAGGACAGGTAGAACCCAGGGTAACGCAGATCCAAGAAGACAACATATGGAAACATCACATGCTTGCAGGGGAAACAGAATAAAAACATATTACAGTGTTTTATTTGTAACCTTAGCTACTGTCACTATAGTTTCAAGAAAATGTTTTTCTAAACATTGGGAGCATCACCCATATGTCAGCTTCCATCTGTCAGTTTTCTGAGCCCCAGCCCAGCACTGGCCAGGTGTCTCCAGGCCCAGGATGCCGTGATTAACTGTCCATTCAGAGCACCCTTCAGGGAGCTGGTTTTGTGGTTTTTCTCCTTTTAAGTGATTTTAAGAGTAAAGGTCAGAAAATGCAGAGAGGCCATGCAAATGGTGTCACAGCACTACTCACCGGTCATGAAGAGCAGCGATCTTGGAAGGACACTGCAAATACTGCTTAAACCGGAGCTCAAAGGCTTGTCCGATGGAGCCAATGACATCCTGGGCCAGCCCATCACAACACTCCAGAATGTGACAAGCTGTGGGAGCAAGGGACACAGGCCCATTAGAGGCAGACACTGGAGCTACCCAGGCTCCTTCTTCCTGAGGGTGAAACCCCGCAGCCCAGGGAAGAAGAGGGGCCAAGGAGGTGGCTTTCATAACATGTCCTGGCAGCTCTGCCTGCAGCTTAATTCCCAGGAGCCCCCAGACACACAGCTTCACCACCGGGATCCATTTCTTAATAGCTTAATCTATGCAAAAGTAAAGGTTCTAAAAAAAAAAAAAAGTAAAGATTCTATTTGTAAGTCCATTTTGAATTTTTAATATTCAACTTGATGGCTTTTCAATTGCTTGAGAGTCTAGAAAACATCAACTTTGAACTCGACTGGGAAATAGAGTTTGGAGGGAAATCTTAACGTGACAAAGGAATCCCTCTAAGACCTCATGGGCCTTAAAAATGGACTTAAACTGACTGTTTTTAATATGTACTTATTTTTAATTGGAGGATAACTGCTTCACAATGTTGTGTTGGCTTCTGACATACACCAGCATGAATCAGCCTTAGGTATACATATGTCACCTCCCTCCTGAACCTCCTTCCCCGCCTCTCACTCCCTCCCACCCATCTAGGCTGTCAGAGAGCTGTGAGTTGAGCTGCCTGCGTCATAGTCCCACTGGTTATCTGTTTCACATGTGGTAATGTTTAGGTTTCAGTGCTTCCCTCTCAATTCAACCCCACCCTGTCCCCTCCCTTGCTGTGTCCACAAGCCTGTTCTCTATGTCTGTGTCTCTACTGCTGCCCTCCAAATAGGTTCATCAGTACCCTTTTTCTAGAGTTCATGTATATGCATTAATATACGGTATTTGTTTTTTCTTTCTGACTTACTTCACTCTGTATAACAGGTTCTAGTTTCATCCACCTCACCAGAACTGACTCAAATTCATTCCTTTTATGACAGAGTATTATTCCATTGTGTACTTGTACAACAACTTCTTCATCCATTCATCTGTCGAAGGACATCTAGGCTGTTTCCATGTCCCTGCTATTGTAAATAGTGCTGCAATGAACACTGGGGTACATGTGTCTTTTAGAATCATGGTTTTTCTCAGGGTATATGCCTAATAGTGGGATTGCTGGCTCATATGGTAGTTTTATTCCTAGATTTTTTTCAAGAAATCTGTTCTCCATAGTGGACTGTATCAATTTACATTCCCACCAATTGTGCAAGAAGATTCCCTTTTCTCCAGTATTTACTGTTTGTAGATTTGTTTGATGATGGCCATTCTTTACAGTGTGAGGTGATATCTCATTGTAGTTGAACAGACTCTTACTGAATGAGTCCTGAGGTATCCTGTGGCCTTGGAGCAAGTTGTTTATTTATTTTCTAGGTGGAGTAAAATGTCATCACCAAATGTGGCAACTCAGAGCAGTAAGACTCAACTCAAAGCATCTTAACTTTTAAGATGCATTTAAAGAAATACTAATTAACCAGTATGACCAACCCACCACATGCCATCTGCATGTACACCAGACGAGGCTGGATATTCATGCTGGTTCTCATAAAAGGGGTGTTGGCAGTCAGATGAGGGCCCCTCAGGGACCTGGAGCAACACTTAACCCATTGGGGTGCCTGCCTTCCTGGTGGCCAGACTGTGGCATAATCCATGCGGGACCTTCAGAGAAAAAAGGGTCAAATGGAGGAAGGTGCCAGAGAAGGCCCCCTCTGCTCTACAAGTAGAACTGTCTCCTGCCCAGACACATGCCCATGGCATCCCACAGAAGCATCTCAGCCCCTCCACGTGGCACCCTGACCAGTGGAACATGTTCTGCTACTAATGAGATAAAGGCATTCTCCCTGGAGAAAAGGACAGATGTGTGTGTCACTCTGTCTTTCTCTTGCCACCAGTTAGGACACAACTGTGTTTCAAGGAGGTTCCTCCAGGAGTGTGGTGAATGCCCAGCAGTGAGGAGAGGCATTGCTGCAGCAGTGAGCTGTTCCCTGGCGCAGTGATTAGGGGGATGCAGAAGCATTGTCACTTCAGGAGAAGTCAGCAAAGAGAGGACTCATTAAGATGGGAAACTGCGAGGGAAGGAGCAGAGACATCACCACCTCCACAGTTTGGCTGCTCTTCCATCACGAAACCGCCTTCTCCATGCACAACACCAGCCAGGCACTGCACAGCCCACCCTGATGGCGGCTGCTGGGCTGGGGAGCCTGCAGTTTCTTCTCCTCACAGGCTCAAGGAAGGAGCATGCCTCTGAGGACACAGAAGCAAGAATTTTCTGGGAAGACCAAGTGTAACTGGATCGCTGCTTCAGGCTGCAATGCAGTCCCCTTGGGCCTTGCGCCCACGCTCAGCTGCTTAGTCATGTCCAACTCTTGTGACCCCATGGACTGTAGGCCACCAGGCTCCTCTGTCCATAGACTTGAGTGAGCTGCCATTTCCTTCTCCAGGGGGTCTTCCCAACTCAGGAATCAAACCCATGTCTCCTCATCTCCTACATTGGCAGGTGAATACTTTACCACTGAGCTACCAGGGAAGCCCCATCCCTTGGATACAGTAGCCCTAGCACAGATATGGCCAAGGGATTTGCCCCAGGAGACAGATGCCCCATCTGTATTTCTGTTATCCAATAATGATATTGTTTTATGTTAGTATTGGTATTGGTATTTATTATTAACCCAGGTAAGCATAAAGCTAGCCCATATTAAGCAGCTGTTGTAGTCACATGGTTGTTCATTAATGGACAGGATTGGAGGTGTCTTTCCAGCCAGGAAGGAAATAGGAGCCTAGGATGGATTGAGGGAAAGACACCTGGCTCCCCCGCCTGCCCCATGTTTCCAGCCACACCTGTCCCCTCCACCCAGCATCAGCACCAGCCGAGGGAACCAGCTGGCTGGTACTTTGGAGAACCAGAATAACAACTGGGGATGAGTCAAGAAAGTGAAGCTTTTTTTTCTTCTAAGGAGAAAAGCAGTGCCCTTAGGCTTTAACACAGTGAATGAAGAATAAGGTTTCTGCAGAGGTCCACACAGCCCTCTCACCTTCTACACACCAGAAAAGTCCAGGCCTGAAATAGGTCTTCTTTAAGTCAGTTCCTGGGACCTTTGGAGGATGCAGGGCTCTGGGTGGAAGCACCGTCGCTTGGTGACAGTGGAGCCCTAGTATTTGGATAAAAGAGGGTGACAGAACCTGCAGATGCAGAATTAAATTATGACTCCAGGTTCTGGGGCCGGGCTCAGTCCTCAGTGGACTGAGTAAGTATCATCTAGTAGTTGGGTCTGAGGATCCTTCTGTAGAATGACTTCTCCGTGCTCCAGAGACTCACTCCAAATCTAAAACCAACCTGGGCTGACAGTCTCTCTGGGCCTGGGATTTTCTCTCGGTGTTGCAATGGTTTTTAGCTTAAAAGCCACTATCATCTAGCCTCACTTGTGGGAGGATTACGAGGGTCTCCGCAAAGGTGACCACCGAGGCTGCTTGTTTTACATCCCACAGTGAAAACAGGGAGCTGGAGGTGTCTGTCATTCATGAGTGAGCCAGAGACGCACTAGATAAAAAGTACATACAGAGTGGTGGGACCCAGAGTCAAGAACTCAAAATGACGTTGTAAAACCTAAAATGTGGCCCCCAAACAAACACAGGAGCAGCAAAATGAGGTCATTCCTCAATCTGTCCCTCTTGGAGGAAGCTGGTTCTTCTGTAGTGGTACAGTAGTGTACCACTGGGGCGTGAACAGTCGTGTACAGATGGAGGGGTGAGGACCGGAGGTGCTTGTTGGCCCAGCTGGTCTCTCTTCTTGACCAAAAGCAAGGCCGACATCACTCTCCAGGAGCTCACTTAGACCACACAGCAGCCACCTCCACCCTGACACTAGCAAGGGGCCTCATCGGGCTTCTCCACAAAGGCCTCTCCCAACCTGGGATGAGCCACTTGAGAGCTGCACGTGCTGAGGTCCTCGTAATCACATCAGATAGAACTGAGATATGGCGTCTTTACCTACATGGCAACCACACGTCTTCCACGCATAGTAGACCCTGGCAGGGCAGAAGTGACTATGTAAGAGGCCGGTTCAGTTTCCCCATGGTTGCAAATAAGTCTAGAGGCCAGTGGCGGCACCTGTCCATTGGTGTTCAAGGCCACCGCAGCCATCTAACTGATGAACGGACTGCAGGCCACCTGGGACCTCCATTCATCTGAGCGTGCTCTCTGAGCCCTGCTTGGGGCAGCTGCTCTGTCAGCCAGCACAAACAAGGGATGCCACAGTAAGAAACAGCCCCAGCATCTCAGTGACAAGTCAGCTCCATTCTTGTCTGCTCATTCCTGGGCAACCCTCCTCAATCACCTCAGCTCTCCTCAAGCAGGTGGTGCCACCACAAGCCAGGCTGCTTGCATCTTTCAATCCTGAATTTCAGTACAAGGCCTCCTCCACGAGCCAGGGAAGAAAGGGACAACAGCGCTTGCACCAGCACTCATGCGTTCTGCTCTCACACAGAACGGTCGCGAGGCTCTCCCTCCACCTGGGAGAAGCTGCAGTACGGGCTCCTGGGAGTTGGGGAGGAAGGAGGTCAGGACATAAGTGAGCACTAGCAATGCTCATCACGCGCACCAAACACCCAGATGGCTTATTTACGGAAGTTGTCAAGGTGTGTTCACGCTTACCAGTAAAGAACTCTTCATTATACTGAGCGCGTATGTCCCCAATAGACATTAACTTATTTATAAATTATGAGCATCATATAATAGTTCCTTCTTTCCTTGTGCTCAGCTGAGTCCGACTCTTTGCGACCCCATGGACTGTAGCCTGCCAGGCTCCTCTGGCAATGGAATTTTCCAGGCAAGAATACTGGAGCTAGTTGCCATTTCCTACTCCAGGATTCTTCTAGATCCAGGAATCAAACCTGCATCTCTTGTGTCGGCTGCATGGACAGGCGAATTCTTTACCACTAGTGCCCCTTGGGAAGTCCAATATAATGGTACGTATATTATAAAAATATCTTTTAAAACATGTAGGGCTTCCCTGGTGGCTCAGATA